AACCCCATGGGCTTTCTGTGTGGGCTCAGCCTCGAGAATTCAGCGGGGGCAAATATGCCATGTTGAAACCCCCACCCCGCGGCCATCTGGCTCGATGGCCTTCGTCTGGCCCTCGCAACAGGCTCGGAGTGGAAGATCCAGACGTCGAGGGTCTGGTATCAGAGCAAGGAGGGCTACCAGGGTCAAGCAGGCCGGGAGCCCCATCGCCATGCCACTCTCCATTTCCATCCCTAGCGTCCGCCGCACAATCCGGAACAGTCGTTCTGGCTGACGCGCCGCCATTTTGTGGTGGCGGCCCTTAACGGGGGATCGCGCAAAGGCGGTCTTTCCCGGTTTTGAGTTTTTGGTTGGCGCACACCTCTCAGCACATCCCCGCCTATTGGGCTGTTGTGGGCCGTTTTGTTTCTGCCTGGCGTCCGCTGTTCTGGGCTCTCTGAACGAAGCAGCCCGCAAAGTACTGGCAGCGACTGGTGATCTACCTCTTCCCCCCTCATTGGGCTCCTTGGCGGCCAGACGCCTCAAGGCCCCGAAGCCAGACAAATTCGCGTTCACAGATACTGTTCAGTCCACATCGCCTGCGCTTCTAGTTGCAAACAAGATCCACTGTGCAGTGTCTGCGGCAAAGGGTGATTTGTAGGCGCAGCTGGCCAATGGATGCAGGCCGCCTTGCCGCAATCACAATCTTCTAGAATGACTGTTCCCAGCCCCGTTGGCGCGTTTTTGGTGGAGCGTGCTGGGAGCTTTTCCTTTAGCAAATGCAGAAGTTGGATTGATCCTCCACAGCCTGAGCGCCGGCGCAAAGTCGTGGCTGGCTGCGCAGGCGCTGGCTGGCAACCCAGTCTCCCTGCTGCTGGCGGTGGATGACCCCGGCGTGATGTCCGCATCTTCCATCATCCGCACATGCGCTTCTTGCACACGCGCCCATAGTCGGCGGGATGTACGCCTCCAGGATTCGCGTAAGTGCTCCGTCAGCGTGGAGTGCCCGAACAGCTCCGCTAACTCTGGTTCCGCGCATCCTCCGCCTGTGATTTCATCCTCCATATGTGCTGCTGGTCCACAGTCTCCATCATGGGCTCGCTGGTAGCGCCCGTGAAGCACATGTGCACAAGGCAGGGGAGAAGTGAGGGGAGGCTTCTTCTCAAAGTGGCTAACGCGCAAGCACTTGAGCCAAATGGCTGTGGGTCAAAAATAGGTACCCAAAATGGAACCCTGGTAAATGAAACCAAGGACTAAAACCTGCGGTCCTTTGGTGGCCGAATTTTGACCCACACCCAAATCATCTGCATGCCATTTTGGCTCATACTGACCGAGTACATACTGCCGCTACGCTCACATGCCCGAGCCCCTGCCAGGGCACCGTCAAGCAGACCAGCCAAAAAAGGCTGAGCAGAGACAAAGATGCTGCGACTTCCTTGCTCAAGTGCAGGACATAGTCCTGCCTTAGCATCACAAGCCACACTCAAACCAGAAACGTCGACCCAAGTCCACCTCTACCCAAGAACTAGGGTGTTTCTCAAAATAAGGGTCCTCTCGGGGCAGCGTAGACGTTCGCTTGCCCCTTTCCCATGTTGTTTGTCTCAGGGCAGCCTTGGTGTTCTAGCCGCTGAATGCTATGATTCAGCAACCTGATTTAAGAGTCATCATCGGTAAGCTCGCTTTACTCCAAGGCGAGCTGCTTGTGATGGGTGCTAACAGGGGCGCGTGCGAACACAATGCCCATACCCTTCGGCAAAAGGGTTGGCGTTGATTGCAACGGAAACCAAATAAGGACATACAGGAGCTACTGGGCTTCTAAAAAAAACTATTCAGATACATTGTGCAATGTTTCTAGCCTTGTAAAGTGCACCAAGAGGGTCAATCACCTGAAAGCCTTAAAGGCTGAAATGTGTGTGTGTGTGTGTGTGTGTGTGTGTGTGTGTGTGTGTGTGTGTGTGTGTGGGTGTGCGTGTGCGTGTGCGTGTGCGTGTGCGTGTGCGTGTGCGTGTGGGTGTGGGTGTGTGTGGGTGGGTGGGTGGGTGGGTGTGTGTGTGTGTGTGTCTGTGTGTCTGTGTGTGTGTCTGTGTGTCTGTGTGTGTCTGTGCCATGTACAAATGAGTTTAGGCACCCACGCACACAAATGTCCTTCTTGAGGTCGAGTTGCTCTTTGCAGTGATGTGGCTGGGTCCCCCAATGCCTAATCGAGTCCCATGCATGTTCAGGGGCTCCGTAATTTGGGGACGAGATTTGTCATTTGAGCCACTCATGGTTTCGAGGGAATGCAAATGCACCGCTTCAACCGCTCAGCCTTTCAAGCTAAGACACACTCAAAAGGGTTGCTGGGCATGGGATTACAGAGGTCAGGCAACTCCAAAATGAGCATATATCAAAATTGGGGGACCTCCAAAATGGTGATTGTCCTTTGGTTTCCCTGGAGCCATCTCAACACGAAGGCACGTGGCACCAGGAAGGCCTTTGGGACTTTGATGGCTTATGACAAGATGAGAAACAGTATCGTCGCCTGTGGCCATCGCCTTCAATAGGTTGAAGCTTGCTTCATGTTCAGATACGGACATTAACTCTTTCACTCTTTGAGGTTCCAGGGGGCTAGTGGGCAGTCTTGGCTTGATAGCACCCAAGTTTTCCAGCATATCTCTCAACACCTGGGATTTGGGATTCGGGTGCAGGACCCAGGCCTAGCGCAAGGGATCCGATACAACGATGGACAAAACCCACGATCTGGCCGCTAGAAAGTGATGTTACCTAAGACCTGCACTTGAGTACCCTCCAGTGCGAACAAAGACATCCCCCAATATGGTTGGCTTCCCAACCAAGCCGGAAAAAGGGTGTCCCTCTTTTGAAACCAGGAACAGCTTTGGAGTGTCAACTAAGTCTGGAGAAGCTTGAACAAACATGCTTGGTCCGGTGTCCAATTGCCAATTGGGACAATTATGGTTCTGCATCCGCAGCTATGGTGTTGCAAATGTTTGCAACCAACGCTTCGCCCATTTTTGTCAAGCGGCTCATTGTGGACGTGAAAGAAGTGCGTTTCCGGGCACATGTCCTCTGGCCTTGCCAAAGAAATACCATAGTTTCAAACCTACCGCATGCGCATGGGGTTTGCATCCCCGGTGCACAGACGTGCTAGGAACGAGACAACACAAGCCTTGACTTGCCATTCCTACCTCAGTTTGGGGACTTCTGTCTGTCCTCTGGATGGACAAAATCCTGCAGCTGGAAAGTGGTCTATCAAAGCTTTGATAGGGCTTCATTAATCCCAACTGGTTCTGACCACCCCATGGCTGAATTGGCCAGAACTGAGAGGCCATGGGCGAACCAATTGGCACGTCTGCACCAAGGGCACCAAGCATGGCCAGGCCCAAGGCTTCCATACCGCTGGACGTGGCGGGCTGGGGATTCGGGATCCAGGGGCTAAGAGCTAGGGTTAGCTTCGGGGAGGAGGATTGGGCTGCCAGAAAGCAGGGCTTTCGTCGACATGTTTATCTTTTTTGAGGATGTTTGGGGACCATGTTGGCATCTGAAACGCATTCGAGCCTCAAAGCCTCAAAGTCAAACCGCCAACAAAAGCCGTCAACGCACAGCGACGAGGTACATTTTTCAAACATGATGATGTCATTACCCATCGTTTCTATCCGCTCAAGGCATGGTTGGGGGTATTTGACTATGGTTGGCAATTACACGGCTAGATTGATAGAACACCGAGTTTCGCTGGAGCTTACTTTTATCGATTGATTGAGGTGGCGATTTCCATCGACTCATCATGGAACAGCTTACTGTCGATGGGGTTTTGCAAAACACTATGTTTGCCTTTTTAGAAACATGCCAGTTCATAACCTGGTGCCCCATTGCACTCATTCGGGGAGTCCCAATTGCAATCAGGGACTCTGGTAGCGAAAGGTACGGAACCATGTCGTTTGCGGACGGATTGACCACGTCAAGACCAAATTCAAAGGGGAAGCTGAGCCCCCTCCCAACCTCTCTGACCAGCAGCATAGCCAGAAATGCGTCCAAGTCTCTGCAAAACATGCGCGCCAGGCCCTCTTCGAAGGTGTATTGGGCGCTGTGTTGAGCTTCACGTCGAAGAGGCCACGATTGCACAAGCCGCCACCCTTTTTCCCACAATCAGTCTTTCACAACGTCTATACCAATTGTCGGACCGGTGAATGGTCAACTTAGACGTGCTGCCGTTCTCAAGCCGCTCACGTGTTCGAACGCATCCTTTCCCGTGCTCCGTTTTTGGCCCCGGTCGAGGCCGAAAGTTGCGGGCGGGCGCAGTGGAACTTGGGCCAAAAGTTGCGGCGAGAGTTTGCTTCGGTTTCCTTGCGCCTTCTCTTTGAAGATCATGGGGAATCCTGGATGTGAAATGTGCAATCAAGAATGCTGCGAAACCTGGAGACTTGAGTAAGAGTACGATTTTAATGGCAGTCTTAAACTCCAAAGGATTGAGGTCCATGCTTACCAACCCTAGCTAAAGGATGTGCTGACCGTGGCGCATTGCATACTCATTTCAATTGAGCAACCGGGCAGCCTCTGAGGCTATGATGCAGGTTGCATCTACAAAAATCCATTTTTTCTCACACACGACATTGGAGTTGGGGCCACCTTCTAGGTCCACAGCAATCAACGTATGAGAGCTCCCAACAGAGAAATGCGCCTCTTTTTGCTCGGATGCTAGCAAAGATGAGT